CGTCTAAAACTTTGTGAACGGCTTCATGTTCTAGTAACCTACAAATTGTTTATTTACGAAAATTCTCGGAAATGGAGCGTTTTCAATGTGGAACTTGGTAAACTTATTCCATTTAACTAGGTATTGAAAACTCTTAAAATCCATTTGCTCGCCGTTTGAATCGTAAAATAATTTGATCACGAAATCGTGAAACAAAGTGGCCTACAAAAATATTGGACCTTCCACCTTCCATATGTCAAAATGACGAGCAGAGGCGCCCATTTTCTCCCAAGATCGATATCGAAAGAATCTGCCTCCCACTTCCCTTCTCCCAAGATATTTTATTAGTCTCCTTTTCTTAAAAACAAAGCAAGCTAGGGAAAAATTAGAAAGAAAAAAAAAAAGAACAAAAATATATATATGTCCATTCCTACCCTTTATAATCATTATCTCATTTGTCCGTTTCACCTTGTTCTTCTCTCATACTTATCTGTTTATCGTTTTTCTGATGTTGTTTTTTATTTTTAGTCCAGATGACCTCAATGATCCAAACAAATTTTCAAAACTTACTAACTTAATAAAGAAATTTTTAACTGCACATACTGAAGATTTTTCATCTTCACAATACCACAGATGTGTGAAAAATCTGATAAATTTTCAACAAGATCCTATTATATTATAATAATATTTATTCAAGATCACCGGAGACAGACGCTCAAAGCGGATTGATGGCTCTTTATAATAAAATGCTAATTAGGTGTGAAGAGAGAAGGAGCCACAATGGACCGGGGCGAACAAAGGGATTCTCATTAGCTACCTCGAAGCTGATTGGTCCAAGAAGACAGAGGATCGGCCAATTACCTCGTCAGATTGACGGGCAGCCGTTCCTGATTGGATGCTTAACAAGTCAGCACGTCAGGGCACTATAGGGCAGTTTACTCTTAAATAGTAATAATAATAATAAGGCTTAGCGAACCCGAAGGTTCGATGCCGACACCACCAATCGCTTGTTACACACCTCCCTCCACCGTTCGCCGTCCAAACCCAGTCCCTTCAGATCGGCTTTAATGCAATCTTCCCACCTTCGCTTCGGTCTACCCCTCGGACGCTTACCATTCGGCACAGCAAATATTAACCTTTTAGGAATTCTCTCGTTACTAAGCCCAACAACTTTACAAGCCCATTTGATTCGCCGCGTAGAAATTACATCAATTATATTACCCGGATACAGCTCACGCAATTCGGCGTTGTGTAACCGTCTGAACTCTCCGGTTAACTCATCCTTCTTCGGTCCGAATATTCTACGCAATACTTTATTTTCAAAAACCTTAAGACGCTGCTCATCCCTTAATGTAAGCGGCCAAGTTTCGCATCCATAAAGAACTGTAGGCAAGATAATTGTTTTATAGATTCTAATTTTTAAGTTTCGGGACAAGAGGCGCGAACTAAGTAGTTTTGTCACAGAAAAATAACAAGCATTCCCCGCCTTCAGTCTAACCTTAATCTCTTCTTCAATTTCGTTTTTTCTAGTTATTGTAGAACCTAGATACCTAAACTTCTCTACCTGTTCAAATATATTTCCTTCTATATCGATATCACCCGCAATAACGCCATTTTTGCAGCTAACCATATATTTTGTTTTATCCACGTTTATTTCGAGTCCTAGTTCTTTACCGGCTTTCATTAAAGTTGTCGTATTTAGTTTTATAGTTTCAACGTCTTCGCTTAACAGTACCAGATCATCAGCATAGCCCAGCACGGATGTTGTCCCGCCCAGATCCAACCCTTTCTCGGTTCGCATTACCTCCCTAATGGCATGTTCTAATGCCAAATTGAACAGGACAGGCGAAAGAGAATCCCCCTGTTTTAAGCCCGAACGAACCTCAAATTTTTCGGACAAATTATTACCGATTCTAACTTTATTGAGTGTCTCCGTCAAGCACATCCTGACTAGATTTACTAGTTTTTTTGGAATCCCCTGCTCGATTAGAATATTATACAGTTTCTGTCGGTCAATAGAATCGTAAGCCTTTTTAAAATCTATATACAGCTGGTGAACAATACCGTTATACTCCAATTTTTTCTCTAATATTTGCCGTAAAGAAAATATTTGATCAATAGTCGAACGATTCCGTCTAAATCCGCATTGGTAGTCTCCGATAATTTCCTCGGCGTATTCCGTGATTCGACTGGTTAAGATTAAAGTGAATATTTTATAACATACCGGGAGGAGTGAAATTCCTCGATAGTTATTACAATCCGTCCTCGGACCCTTTTTGTGAATCGGAATAAGAATAGATTCTTTCCATTCTTTAGGTAATTTCTCGTTCACCCAGATCTTTTTAACCAACCGATGTATTTTAGAAACTCCAGCTTCTCCGCATGCCTTAATTAGTTCAGTAGGAATATTATCGATTCCCGCTGCTTTATATGATTTTAATTTTCCGATAGCTACTTCAACTTCCACTTTACTTGGTCCTTCTATTAACGGTTCAGCACTCTGGTACTCAGAAGGAGGACATAGATCATAATTTCCCGTATTTAAAATATTGTCAAAGTGGTCCTTAAACTTATTCAATGTGTCAACCGGATCGGTCAGAATATTGTTATTATCATCCCTAATTCCAGACGTTACGGGCCCTACATATTTACGTGATCTGTTTATACCTTTGTACATGTCTCTTACGTTATTTTCGATTCTATTAGTTTCTATTTCAATTATTTTATTTTTAAGATACTCCCTTTTTTTACTTTTGAGCAATTTTGTCGTTTCGTTCTTTGAGATTCGGAAGTATTCCAGATTGTCTTCGCTAGGATTATTTAGAGCTTTTAATTTAGCGGCTTTTCTTTTTTCACACATGTTTAAGCAATCTTCATCAAACCACGGTTTGTTATTCTTATTTTCCTTTTTTCCTAGACACGAGTTACCGACCGCTTTAATATTATCCCTGATCTCTATCCATAACTTGTCAATATCCTCGTTGTCTTCGTCAGGAAGCTCTAAAGCTTCAAACCTATTCTTAACATCTAGCTCGAATTGGTTTCTAATTGATGGATTTTTTAATTTTTCCAAATTAAAATTCTCAAAATCGAAACGGTTTTCTTTTCTCTTTTTTATATTAAGTTTTTGTCGAAGTTTCGCGATTACTAATTCATGATCCGACCCACATTCTGCTCCGCGATAAGACCGTACATTAATTATACTGCTTTGCCAGCTATGTTGTATCAAGACATGATCGATTTGATTTCGTGTTTGCGAATCCGGTGATGTCCAAGTATATTTATGAATATCCTTGTGTTTAAACGTCGTACTTTTAATTATCAGGTTTTTCGAGATGGCAAAGTTTATCAGACGGATTCCATTATCATTACTATATTCGTGCAAACTTTCTTTACCAATCGTCGGAGTATAAACTTCTTCCCTTCCTACCTTTGCGTTCGCGTCACCTACAATTATTTTCATGTAGTTTCGCGGTAGTTTATCATAAACCCATTCGAGTTTATCGTAAAATTCACTTTTGACTTCATCGTCACTGTCTTCGGTCGGACAATGTATGTTTATTAATGCGATTTTAAACCAACGTCCCTGAAATGTAGCTACCGAAATTCTATCACTAAAGAATTGTACGTCCCTCAAAGCGGATAGTAATCTACTCCTAATTAGAAATCCGGTACCCAAACAATGATTCCCGCTTCCTCCGTACCAAATAGTGTACTTTCCTTCCCTCATCGAGCCCTCCCCTGGCCAGCGAACCTCTTACAGAGCCACGACATCCAAATTGTACCCATTCACCTCATTCGCGACCGATTTTAGCCCCCCTGCTGTGTTTAAACTCCTTACGTTCCACGTACCAATATTTAAATCCCTATATTTCAACTTGCACCATGAATCCCCTAAAGCAGTCCCCACCCGGAGACCCGAACGGGGGACTAGTTTACCTCCGGATAATGAGCGTTTTACCTTAGGGAGATCCATGACTTTTTGTGGTGTTTGGTGAACTAAAGATATGTGAGTAGGGCGTTCAATCCTACGTCACACCCTCCAGCAAGTCTGGTGGGCCCCTACCTCCAGCAAGTCTGGAGGTCCCCTCCCTCCAGCAAGTCTGGAGGGCCCCTCTCATTGTTGGTCAGCGAGTCCATCGGACTTAGCCGGGAGGAACTTCCAAGGAATTTCCACCGACCATCCCCACATCCGCCACCCGTGGGACGCTCCCCATACGCGGTAATGAGCCCGCGCGAGTGTCTAACTATTATAATAATTAATTTAGTGTGCTCTCATAAAGTTTATATAATAATAATATTCAGCTATATAAAAATATCAAATAAAATTGAACGCTCAATTGCATGATTTTTTTTTGGTTGTGCCTGAAGATGGCGTAATTGTCGAAAAATAAGTATTCTAAACGAGATAGCGTTGAATAACATATCTAGTGAAAATTAAATAAATTTAATATTTAAAAAGAATTTTCACCTTAAACTTAAAATTTATATATTTTAAATAATAGTTTAATAATTATACTTAATTAAAAATGTATCTATATAAGGTTTTGTAAATACGTGAAATGAAGTTTTCGTTATTATATATTTCTAATGGGAATAAGTTAATTACTTTTTAAATTTAATTCCAATATTCTTTTACTGACGGTCATTCATTGTATTTAATAAAGAATGGCGATCTTTTTATCTCAGGTACCAGATGCTCTTTAAATCCATTGTTGTTAAGAAATATATTTCACCTCAATTGAGTAGAGACAAAGAAAATATAAAATAAAAAAAAAACAGAATTGTTTATTATGGATATATATTTCTTTTATATCTAAATGGAAACCGGGGTCCTGAATAGGTCATCGGAGTTCTTTCAACGAATGAGGTGGAATTTTTAATAAACGCTCCGAGAGGAGATGGCACAGAGAATGGGACGGAGATGATGGGATTTTTGCCGAGGGTTCGACGACAATAGCGGCAGCTTGGAGCGGTGCCCTGAGTGCGCAAGCTATGCGCAAGCAGTGCGCAAGGTTTACCTTGTGATCGTCTTGCGGACCTTTGCTTGTCCACGCAGAGCAACTCCTTCCAACCGCTCGGTGGAGCGAAACGACCTGCCACACGCAACGTTACAACACATCAACACACCTATCGCATTGGCATAGTAATTGAGGAGCCAAAACTAGAAACTCAGGCTAAATATATGTAACATTTAGTACATCACATGCTAACAGCTGTGGCGTCTTATTCAGTCAGAGCACATGTTATAAATTATTTTATTCATGAAATTCACTACTGTATTAAAGTAATGTGAAAAGAGAAATATGATGAAAGAAAAGTAAAGAAAACAGCCAACGGTAGCATGGAAAACATAGTTTTTTATCAAAAAATCATCTTCTTTTCAGATGCCTAAAAGAATTGTCAGGAATTGCAGAGGGTGCAAGGTTAGAAATTTGGTTTGGATGAACTTGAAGTTCACAATTGAAGAAAAAGTATTTGGATTGGAGTGAATTGGCAACATAAGGAAGATTAAGATCATTGTGGATAATTTTATATGTGACAAAGTAAAACTGACCAGTATCATTAAGCACCCCTTTATTAGTTAGTCACCTACATCCGTTAGTATTATGAGCCAGGGTTGCCCAGAAAGGGGTTTCACGGCGCAAGTTGCGCCATCAAAGTTCCTGAGGAGGGCACTATTTGGCGGGGTTTTCAATTTTTGAGGGGCCACATTTCTAAGGGATTATGAATTTTAAAAATGAAAAGTTTCAAATTAAAAGACAAGTGGAAGCATGGAACAGACCGCAGTATGTGTAATTGTATATAATCTACGAATATTCCGGTGCCAGGTGAGTCTTTGAAATCCCGGAGCTCACTCCCTGGCCCGGGGGGACCCCGTATAGCCTTAAAGGCTAGGAAGGAAAGGACCAAAAATAAAACTACGAATATTTAAATTCTACTTTCGTTTGCACTATTTTTAACAAGAAGAGAGGAATAAAATATCTTAAGAGGGGTGGGGGAAAGCTTATGCTTATGCTTATGCACGGCCTTGGGTGGGATGGGCACCCCTGTTACGAACCCAGATCGTATTTATTATCGTGTGGACTACTTTCTACTCAAACCATTTGATTCTTCCTTCAATAATGCTGGCTAGAGGCTAAGTCTTGCAGACGTATATAAGTACTTGCTTTATCATTGTAATGCACAACCCACTAATTAAGCATTTCTTATAACTGGACTTTCTTAATTAGTATCAATGATATAAGGAAACATCTTAAAGGAATGTCCTAGATACTGGAAAGATGTGGAAGATTAAGAGAAGGAATTTTCATATTGAAAACTTTATTGGTTCCATAAAGACATAGCTTACCTTTGCATCAAATATAATTAGTCAACTTCTGGGTAGATTATTAGGAAGGAACTAATAAAAACTAAAGTAGCGAACTAAAGTTTATAACTCTAGCCTAGCCATTATTTTTATAACAGTGCTTGAGGCGAATAAGACACCATATAATAATACAAATATAAACTACAGCAGAGTAACAAGTGTCATATATATATACGGGAGACATTTAAATTTATGTATAGTATAATTTATATTTTATGTTAAAAATTTTAAATTAGACACACATTCCTACTCTGCCGTGTCCCAGCTCTCTTATAGACACAAACTGAAATACAAAGTTTTAAAGAAAACATGAAGTATAAAAGTGATTAATAAGACAGATGATTCGTAACCATAAATTTCATTTTATGAATTGAATTTGTGAGAAGTAAAAAGTGTTGCCTACTGTTTAAGTTTTAGCATAAAACATCAATGATCTTTGTCATCTAGTATGATTATTATTTTTATTATTTATTTATTTTTCTCTTTGCTTCAGATCTTGCTTTTTTTTCTTTCTGACTATTTATGTTTATATGTATGTATTATATTTTTTAATGATGTAGAGATGGTTGACCGTGATATAATATGAGAAGGAGTTGATCGGTGGGTACGGTAAAAAAAATACTAAATTTTAAGAAATAATACTTTTAATCATCACGCCGAAGCCTCGACCCACCTTGCAGGTCTCCATCAGGGTAGGGAAGAGGAGTTTAAAATTGAAGAGGTCAATGTGTTATCATGTGAAGAATTGTTGAATGAAGATGAAGAGAAGTGATTAGATATCGGTGCTGAGTGGAAAGAACATAGAGGTTCTGATGTGAGGAAGAAAGTTGTTATCTACTCTGAGGAAGACCTGCAAGGTGGGTCGAAACGTCGGAGCAATAATTAAACATACCACCTCCCAAAATTTAGCATTTTTTCTTACCGCACCCCCAGATCAATTATATTTTTTATGTATATTTATTTTATTTTTCTATATTTTTCCATTTCAACTATAATCACGCTTAAGGCTCTTGTTCAACTGTTAACATATTATTTTATAGTGTTAGTTCATTAATTCAGCCTAATTTTTATATTTTATCATCTAAATCGATGACTTTCTCTTATTACTTTTGTTATCTTATTATATTATTGTTTTATTTATTTTTTATTTATCCAGGTTATTCATTTTGTCTCTCTGTTTACAAATATGTGTATGTATGTATACATATATTTCTTTTTTTTTTCGGTTACATTTCGGGTATTCCTGAGAAGATTTTGTTTTTATTTGTTTTTGTGTTTGGATATTATTATGTAAATCACTGTAGATAATATTAGATTTTGTATTAAGTCAATTTTTTATTATTTAGCTTGTTGTTTATAAATATTGTAGTTATGTATGTATAAATATGTAATTTCTTCCATCACAATAATAAGTAATCTTGAGAAGATTACTCTTAAATAGTAAATATTTAATATGTTCTCTCCAGTTTCTATTGGATTTCCCTCAACAATCTGATTACTTTGTCTATTTTTTTTTTATTACAATCTTAAATTAAATATTTAATAGTTGACCGTTGCATTATAAAGGAAGGAGATGCTCCGGGGTGGCGGTCATAAATAGGCTAAATAGTGGCAAAACTATTTTATTAAAATCCAACGTTTCGACCCGACTTAGCAGGTCTTCTTCGGGGCTAGAACGGACAAGATATATAATATTTTAATTACACTACAACAATTGTTACCATCTATTTACTTCAGTTTAGGATCTTGTTACTGTTACTTATCTTACTCTGTTTATATTTCAACATACTTACTGTTTATAATTTTAATAAGTTTCTTCACACTGTTTATAATTTTCTGTCTAAATATTATGTAACTTCCAAGATTCTTTATATCTTTTTGTATCTTGTCCGTCTAGTCCTGAAGAAGATCTGCAAAGTCGGGTCGAAACGTTTATTACGAAGCCTATTTATTACCGCCACCCCGGACCTTCTCCTTCCTTTAGTTAATTTTATCTATGTCTTTACCTATTAAAAATTATGCACAGTATATGTTATTATTTTAACTGATTTTCATTTACGTTAGCAATCTTTAAGGTTCCGTTCGATAAGGAATTTTTAATGCAATATATTTTATGTTTAACATAATTGACGTTTGCCTTAGTGATTTTTTTTTTTTATCCTCCCCAACACATTCCCCATGAATGTGAAAAATATATGTAAATTTTATTTTTCAGAGTAGTGAGACATTTGCAATTCAAACGGTCTGATTTACCGACGAATTCATGAATCCCAACTCTAAGCCGCCACCAAGATAAGCATAGCTTAGAGAAATGTTTTCGAGGCTTCCAGAAGTGGGGTAGTAGTTTAAGTTGAATTTTGTTTTACTAAAATTTTGATCCAGCATTTGTGTCCCAGATCTAAATTTTTGTTTGTGTATATATTTGTATCTATAAATCTGTATATATTTTTTATTTTAATGAAATTTACAACTGTATTACATGTAAAATACAACTAGTGAACGTGACATTGGTAACATGACATGTACAACATGAAGAGAAACTATCCATTGGTAGAACTCAAATCAAAGTTCTATATTAGAAGGTCTCGAGGCCATAAAATTTAATTTTTTTTTTTATTATTTCATAATGATATTTATAACTGTATTGAATAAATACATCTAGTAAATTTGAACATAATGGATATAACAACATGAAAATACTTGCTGAGTAACTACCCAATGGTAGCACTCTAATGATATGTCTACATTAGGAGATCACGGGTCCATCTTCTTTACAGACGCCTCAGAGGGTTATCAGGGATCGAGGAGGATGCAAGGTTTGGAACGAGAGGGTTCAGATGGTTCTGCAGATTGTTATGGAAGGAATAGGTATCTGGATTGGGCCAAATCGGAAACATATGGAACATTAAGGTCTTTATGGATGATTTTATTTGTGACAAAGTAAGGAGCGTTGAGGATTTTACGAAGGATTTTAGATTGTAAGGATTAGATACGAGAGGAATTCGATGGTTTAGTGGAGCCCCAATGCTCAATTCCGTAAGTCCAAATAGGTCTTATTATTGTCATATATATGAGTCGTTTGTAATTGATTGAAAGCTTAGAGCGTTTGTCTTGGTAAGTGCTGCAGTAGTCGAAAACGTCGGGCGGTTTCTAGTCGTTTGAGTCTGGTAGGGGGGTGTATCTATAAATATAAAATTGCGTTTAGACATTTCACAAACTATAGAAAAAACAAATAAAGAAATTGTTATTTCACTATGCTAGTATTTTTATTTTTGTTGTTTTTGATATTTTTCATCTGCTGTTGGTATCAAGATAAATAAAATAAATAGTTTGGTTTAGCAATGATGTCATTATTATTTAATTGTGTTTCACATAGTTTGTGAAATGTCTAAACGCCTTAAGGAGCATTAAGTTGAATTAGCAAGTTAATCTCTTAGAGTGATATGCAAAGCCTCTATTTAAACGTTCCGTCAAAAAGAAATACTTCTATGAAATTTAATGAAAATGGAATTATTTTAGTAGTAGGAATCTATAGGCAGTCTCTTGTCTTCGTAATGAATATGAATACATATTTCATATTAGTTTTTCCTGAGTCCTTGTTAACAGTTTACTATTATATTTATTTATAATATAAATAATTGTGTTTAATCATTTATACATTTTTTACATATTATTTTTTTTTTCGACTGTTGACAATTAGCAGATGGTCTGATTAAAGAAACGAAACTCTGGCATGTCAGACGTAGGGAAGG